CTTGATTATAGTTCTGGATTCAAGAATCCCCTTCTTGAGTTCGTTGAAGTAGAAGTAATCCGGCTGCCGGAGAAACTTGAGCTGCCATTGTTGTTGAGCGGAAATGACAGAAGAAGGGCAACAGCCGAAGCTGCCGTTGTTGATCCGAGCAACGGAGAGGTCATGGTGGGCAAACTCGGATTGAATTTCTGAGTCGGAAATGGACGTGGGTGCGATTTTGGGCTTTTTGTGCAAGTGGGTCTCGGTGTCGCCGTTGAGATGAGGCGTAGAATCGGGGCGGAGGTAGCTTTTTTGACAGTGGGAAGCCATTAGAGGGAGATGGGTGAGCAGGATTTAGGGTTAACGGTGATGGGTGAAGAAGAAATTGAATGAAAATGAGAAAGAGGGAGAGAAATGGGCAAAAGGGGCGAGGAAAGAGAGAGAAATGCGATAAGCGGGGGAGTTTTGTTCGTGAGAGGAAAACGTCAAGGGGATTGAAGAGAAAAATGATGAGAGTATGAACAAGTGGGTTTGTACAGTGCTTAAAGAGCGAGATTGTTCCGTCCTCCATTAACAGAGTACACTATATGAGTGGGCGCTGTTTAAGCCTTTTGCTGGTTTGGACATGAAATTGTTCTTAAGAAGATGTTGGAAATGGTGATCCACCCATAATTGATATCATTCCTAACACGACAGCTACTATAATTGATATCATTTATAATATGGTTTGAATTGAAATGAAGTGTAACACGGATCTTAAATCCTCTATATGGTATCCATATTTGTTCTTTATTTTCGTATAAAAATTAAAAATCAAAGATTAAAATGATAACTATGAGGTAGATCATAATTTGATTTTGGAGGTTAAAAAATTTGGGTTGGGTATCTTTTTTAAAAGGATTTTGGTGTTGATATGGGTGCTTGATAGGACATGGGAATGAGTGGCACAAGGGAATGGTTGATTTTTTTTTTTTTTTTTTTTGGTGCTAGTTACAAGAATCTTAATGAATGGCATGGTCAATGGTTTTACTTTGACTTATTTGATAATTAATATTCCCACTTTGATGGTAATTTTCCAAGAAGTTTAATTTTAGTTTGAATAATTTTAAATGCTATGGTTAGGATAAGTATATATATTACCTAAATTTCGAGATTTTGAAATCTGGATTGAGATTAAAAGGACGAGGAAATAAATAAAAATAAAAGATGAAATTTAATGAAATTTAAGAATAACATATGGATAACACAAAAACTAAATAGAAAATAAAGTTTAATTATAATATAGGGCTTTTCAAATTTATTATAAATGGGGAAATGGATTTGAGATATAATTACAAAACGGAATATGAAAGACTATAACACAAAGACGGATTGACGCTCTGGAACAGCCTCCTAAATGATTTTATAGCTCTCAAACGCTCCTCCACCTTAACCAATAACTTGTAAATACCTGAAAAAGAAAGGGAAAAACTTGCGAATACGCTTATCCTAGTAGGTATCCATAGATTTTACTCTAGGTTTGGACCTAGTCTTTGCTAGTATTTGAGCATTTCGGGTGGCTGAAAGTTTTGGGCGATACTTTAGCTGCTCATAGACCCACTCTGGTTACGGAGGGGGTGATTCACCCATTTTTGCCATCGCACGTCTTTTGGGTTGCAAATTTCATCATGGGGTGAACTACTTTTCTATTATTAGACTTAGGTAGCTTGTTCTCCCTAAGGAATGTGTAATCGGTGTCTTGGGTTGAGCCTCTAATTCGTAAAACTCTCTCCTTGTCGGGACAGTATGTATGTGCTAGCCTGCTCTTGTTATCCATAGGACATTAGCTAGCGAGCTCTGGCCACAGAACCATCTAGTCACTCAAGGTTGGGGGAGCAATCCCCATGTGCTTGCTAGCTACTAAGATTACCCGCATAATCCTACATCCCCTTTTAGGACGGATCTGTTATGCAGGCTAATCCAACTAAATTGTTTGTCACACGACCCTAATCGGGCTTGGCTTGGCTCAACAGTATTGGTACAGGAATGGAAAGGGAAAGTCTTTGACCTAGCTAGCGTGTTTTGCTTATGTAGTGAATGACCAGTGACCTGGGTTGAGGCATAACCTCGTATACTCTATAGGGACAATATACTGTCTACCAATATGAACATCATCCATAGAAGGTTAGCTGGCGGACCCTCCTACGAGACCATAAAGTCACCAAAGCTTGGAAAAGCAACCTCTTCGTGTGTCAGCCAACTACTAGGTTAACCTATGTTGTCCCATGTCGCCCTCTCGAGAACGGGTTTACAACACAGAGACCCTGTTTAGGAAACTGTTGGCATTTCTAATGGTTAGGGCACCTAATCGTCTCAACGTAACTCCCCTCTATGACCTATGCCTACCTTGACGGTTTGGGTACCAAAGACTCTAATGACACAGTCACACTGCTATCAACTTTGAAAAGTTACCTTGGTTATCCTTAGATGATGTGGAGGTCTACTAGGTTCTTAGGGGATCTAGACAATTTAAGTCGCTTCTCTCGTTTACAGGACGTTTAGGGTTAACCCCTCAAGCTAATCCACTCTCTTGATGCACACAAGACTAGACCTAACGATCTTGGGGTGCAGGAGCTTCTAGAAACATACTGATATGGGTCAACTCAAAATTGCTCTAGCTCTGGCACCATAGCCTTAACTTGGTTCTCTTGTGCATATGGGGAGATTATCCTATCGATCACCTGAAGCACCGTATACATAATCTAATCATGTGTGCAATTTTATTAGGGAGATATCATATCGATCACCTAAAGCCTTGAAACATAAACTAAAATACTCTGGCAAACAAACAAGCAAATAAGCTCAACGAGGAGATAACATCCATCAATCACCGGGAGCACAAATCACCACAACTCATCCTCCTTTTTAACACAGCGAAAATCATATAGAGTAGCATTCATCACAAATCTTATCATAGGGGCATTCTAGTAATTCTTACATGCATGCATAACATACTCATCCATATTGCTCAACTCGTATTCTAGTCATGCTATTCTATTTCTAACTTTGCATAATACATAACACAGCATGCTACTCGAAAATCTCAACCTAGGGGCATAATGTTAATTTTACCATAGCATACATACCGTACATACTCATCCAAAAATGCTCTTTTAAAGTCCTTAACATACACTCTCTAACCACCTAAGGTAAGGAATGCTCGCATGCTAGCAAGTCTTAGTGATCTTATAAGGTATTACTTGCCTAAAGTCTGTGTGGTTACTTACTTGTATGACGTGTGCCTTCTCGCCTAGCTTTTTAGTGTGTTAAAAGCTTTCAAAATTCCTGAAATTTATATGGTAGGTCCTAATTCAAGAAAAATTAGGATTAGCACTGAAATCAGGACAAAAAACTAATAACCAGAGGTCGAACGAGGCAAAAAGAGGGTACTCACACGCTCACACATGCGCAGAGGGAGGATAGACGCGCTCTCGGTGTGCCACGTGCCATGTTGTAATTAGTTAATGCATCTCCCACGGTGCAATTCAAATCTCAAGTGCATACGAATTACTAGGTGACCACACGTGGGACACACGGTCAACGCGTCTGAGGTGGGTCAAATCATCTCGCGGATTTAGATCGAGTGATGGCTCTCAGGTCAATTAGCTTCATAGATCCACGCTCGCCTACCGCGTGTCGACATGCATCACTTGCTTGCTCAACTATGCAACATCACTCAATGTTTGACATGCGTCTCTGCCTTCTTCAACGACCTATTGTTGATCTCCGTCTGACATGTGGTAGCTACACCTGTCTTTCATAGATTCAACCCATTTTCTTCCAATTTTCATAACTTTTCTTACCTATCTTGAATTAACTTAATAATCAAGTCCAAAATTGGTTTAGAATTCAAAAATTACAAAATGTATAGTTTTTTAACGTTCATTGGAACGACGTCTTCTCGTCTGAATCAATTTTAACCTCTTTCACAAAGTTGTGTGAGATCCCTCCAATATCAACATATGAAAATTCATAACTTAATTCTAAGAAGAGAGAAACCAAAATCAAGAACCTTTACCTTTGGTTCTTCCTCGATTATTTATGGATTTGAATAAATCAAAACTCCAAAATGGTTCTCCCCAATCCTTCCGAGCATTTCTTGCTAAGGATCTTTGGTGAAATTCTAACCCCAAGCGGTTTCCGAGTAGATTTCCACTTCCTCTCTTTAGAAACCCTAAAACCTTTCTTTTCCTCTCTCTCTCTTCTCTTTTTCTTTTCCCTCTTTATTAACTCTCTAAGTAGGGTTCATAGTCGCCTAATTAGGTAAGGTGGGTCAAAATGACCAATTTACCCTTTCGGGTTGACTTGACAGATTTTCTCCCTTTTTCATTTTACGCTCACTAAAATTGTTGGAACTAAAGTCTATAGGAACCAAGCTCTAACTTTCTCCAAATTATAAGTGTGAGGAAGCGACTTTTTCTTTTAAAACAAGATCTTACTACATGCATGATAACATAATGTACCTGTCCGTACGTAACATACTAAAGAAGTAATCCATTGTCGTGTGACACACAACATGTGTTATATTCTGTATTAAAAATCATGATTCAGTAGAATGATGCACATAATACTTTTATACTCATCATGACCATGAAACCCTATAAGACGAGCGTATATATATTCATGGCATTTCATACCTGCAACGATAACATATTTTATATTTTTAGTTCAACAAATATGAAATAAAAATGAATTATTGCCCTTAAAATGACCATTGATGTTTGATTTATTGAATTATACTTGAATTGAGATCCTTTTCCGAAAGCAATTTAGGTCAATTTCGGTTTGGTAAGAGAAAGTGTACGGACTATGATTCTTATTGGACAAAATAAAAGGGATATGTACCTACATTATGTATGAGTTGAAAAAAACAGTTCTTTTTTGGGGGAAAATAACAAAAATGTCTACTCAATAAATGGAATTGGAGTCACTTTAATTATACTTTCAAAACCACCCCCAACAAGCAACTAATGGGGTCGGAATATATAAAGCTCGATACGACATCTAAAATTAAGTTACCAATTTAATCCCTATGAAAATACATTTCGCAAAGCCATTGTCACATTGTAACATACTCCGTCCAATAATTTCTCCTTAGCTATGACGAGTGTCGAGAGACTTAACAATAACAACGTAACTGAATACATGGTTGTATGGAGCCATGAACGAACCGAGTATGTGGCAAGATAGTTAACTATCACGTACTCAACCATAAACACAAAATTGTAACTTTAAAAGCAAAAGTTAGCTCCTATAAAGAAACATCTGAAAAACAGCCATTTAATAATACACTAAGATCATTGCGCTTTGAATGTCAATTACCTTGCAGCTTTCCCTTTGTCATATGCAGCAATGTTCTGGGGTTCACATTCTGGACTAAACAATCGAACAAGCAAAGCCGAGGTCGCACTCATTGATGCTGCTCCACAAGCTGCCCAACGCAGACTCCTAGGAACTGTAATTCTTGGACCTATCACACAACAGAATTCAGAATCCCACAAGCTTAATAAGTGCAATATTAAAGCCCTCTAAGATCACAGGCTGATGCTTTGCGTTGGATTTGAATCTAACCTTAAATATTTTTCTTGATTTAATCAAAGTTACACTTGTTTTCTATGAAAAAGCAAGAAAAGTGCTTCTATTTGCTTCTACAACATCCAGAAAGTCATAGAAGAAAGGCAACAAATGTAACGAATCCGGCAGAGAAATATCATGTGTTCATACTATGTTTGAAAGTAACTTAAAAGTATTATTTTACTTAAAAAAAAAAAAAAACTGTTCAAAACACTTGAATGATTCGTAAGAAAACACTGATAAAGTGCATTTTCCCCATTGGCTCAAGTGCTTGATGAGAAAGAACCCAAAAGAAAAGTATTCTTAAGAATGATGGACCAAGCACGAATATGATCCGTCGTTAAGCACTTCTTTTCGAAGGTGCTTGTGATTAAAGACTTTTTGTGAAATCCACATTGGTTGGAGAAGGAAACGAAACCTTTCTTATAAGGGTGTAAAAACCTCTCCCTAGTAGATGCGTTTTAAAAACTTCGAGGGGAAGCCCGAAAGGTAAAGGCGGAAGGGGAAACCCAAAGAGGATAACATCTATTAGCGGTGGGCTTAGACCGTTACAAATGGTATCAGAGCCAGTCACCGGGTGGTGTGTCAGCAGGACGTTGGCCCCCCAAGGGAGGTGGATTGTGAGATCCCACATCAGTTGGAGAGGGGAACGAAGCCTTCCTTACAAGGGTGTGGAAACCTCTCTCAAATAGACGCGTTTTAAAAACCTTGAGGGGAAGCCCGAACGGGAAAACCCAAAGAGGACCTAGCGGTGAGCTTAGGCCGTTACAAATGGTATCAAAGCCAGTCACCGAGCGGTGTGCCAGCAGGGACATTGGCCCCCAAGGGGGTGGATTGTGAGATCCCACATCTATTGGAGAGGGGAACAAAGTCTTCCTTACAAGGGTGTGGAAACCTTTCCCTAGTAGACATGTATTAAAAATCTTGAGGGGAAGCCCGAAAGGGAAAGCCCAAAGAGGACAATATCCGCCAGCGGTGGGCTTGGACTGTTACACTTTTGTTATAAACACTTATTTTAGAAGTTTATAAGTACTCCCAAACATACTCGTATTTAGTCGACTTAACCTAATACCTATTCGAACTTCGATTCAGAATACTCTTGCTTCCATTTATATGGTAACTAAATAGATTAGAATCAATAAGGAAACTCATTAGTCTTCACTAAGAGGTGAACGGGAAAAGGGAAAAACATGCAACTTGATCATGCATTTAAAACCAGATAAGAAGAATACTTGACAGACCATAGTGTAATCTGCAGAGAATCCAGAATGCAAGTCCCCCTCCAACAGTACATAATCCAGCAGTCTGTTTCATCAACTGTGAACACGGTTTAGCGTCCGATCTCATTAGCTCACCATCAGAAAAACCAAAGAACCGTCTAAGCGCCATCTGCTATATTCCTGGACCAAATCAAAATTGATAGCTTCATAAATTGAGTTTAAAATCTTTGCAGAAACCATAATTCAGTCAGTAGAATAAAAAATGAGTATGGATTCTTTCTAAAACATCACTAGAGGCAATATTCCAATTTCAATCAGGCATGGTCCATTTAGGGGATAATAACATCCCGGCTTCATGCACACACCTGCTGTATTCGGCACAAATTTGACCAAGTCAGGCGTCGGATGCTGTTGAAGAAAGAGTTTCATAGGTAGCTGAAGAAGGGAAGGAAGTCAAATTTGTATTCATCACAAGGTGGAGATAAGCGTTGGATTATCATATAGTATGAGCTCTGTGCTATTCCTTTGTTTTGAAACTTTTCTTTGACTGCTCTGCTCCCCCAAAAAACGGGAAAAGACTTTTTGAAAATCACTGGTGGTTAGTCCGGACATGGGACTTTTTGGGCATCAAAGTTTTTTTTGGATGAGACACTGAGCTTTCAATCAGAAAAATTAAGTAATGTACAAGAGCATATTCAAAAATCAACCCAATAAAAGGAGTTTTTGGTCAGTTTGATTTGAGAACACAAATACAACTAGAGCTTTAGGCTGCTTATCCAACAGGCTAGAATGCAGAGGCTTAGGCTTAGCCAGAAGATTAGAAAGAGTTCAAAGTTGATTGTGATTCTGGTTTGAATCTTTAAACAAATCATATGAAAAATTGGAGCCTGATGGAACCTGAGCAGAGGGAAAATGAACCAACAAGCCAACCAATACAAGATTTCTTCTTTCTCTTATCCTATATATGCAATGTTAATCAATCCATTTTAGATGCAATTTGTTGTTCCGTAATGCCACAATCTTCAAAAATGATATGATACCCAATTATTGTAGCGGAAGCGAAAGCGAGATCAATCACACTCACAAACAGAAATTAAACAAAGTGACACAAAAATTTAGGTGGTTTGGAGAGAGGGATTCCCCTGCATCCACGGGTGGTAGCCAATCACTATAACCAAAGTGTTTACAAGTCTCTCAACAAAAGGTCCTCCCAATTGCTTCTAGGCAAATACAAAATGACAATGATTCCACTCGACTCCACGCCTCAAAACAATGTTAGACAAGCCTTTATATAGACATAACAATACTAATTCTCATACCTAAACCAAATAAATGAGAATACGAAACAAAATGGTTATAAACTAAATGAAAATTAATAACCAAAATAAATGATACTATAAACGTTATGAACTAAATGAGAGTTATAATAATACATCTTTGTGACAACTTACAACACAATTATCATGTTCCAGGTTGAATTCGTTACTGAGAACAGAAGAACACAAGTTAAGTTTTGTTTAAGAACCTAATCACAGAGGACTGGAAGACGAAGTACCCAAAGACAAAGGCCTAGGAATGAGAACAGAGGCGGCTACGGTTAGGATCAAATGCCAGAATCGCCAATCACTAAAATGAATAAAGGAGGCAAGGGATTAAATCAAAGGGGTTTCGATTCGGTTTTCTGGGCTCAATATTTCGGGTTGTAACAAATTGCAAGCACTCACATAGAGACTTTACCAGTAATGAATCATGAGACAGAAATTGAAATCAAAAGAAAGATAAACGAAGCAATATAATACCTGAAGAACAACGGCGAATGCGATTTGGCGTAGCCGGTGCTTCTGCCGCCGCCGGTCCCAGACTCTGAGCTTCGGAATTACAGAGAGGATTGAAATAGAACGCGTAATGCGACTAGCGAAGAAGAAGATACTAGCGCAGAATTTGGGGCTGCGCTGATGAACTAAATATTTTTTTTACAATTTTTTTTCTCCCTTATTATTATTTTTAGGGCAGATTATAAACAGATATACAAATGACTCAAATACAAAGATAGACTGATGCTGTGGAACGACCCTCTTGTAATCGAATAACTCTTGAACGCTCCTCCAACTTGATCGACAACCTGTGAACACCTAAAAGAAGAAAGGGGAAAGGGGTGAGTATATAAATATATCGAGTAAGCTACTTATTTGAAGGTTTTCATTGCTTTCTTAATTTAGTAGGTATCCACGAGCATTACTTCGGGCTCTAGGAAGTTCAGGCCTAGTCTCTCTGCTACCTGAGCCTTTGGGGTGCCTCAAAATTCTGGGAGGTACTTTAGTAACTCATGGACCCACTATGGGTATGAAAGGTGTGGTTCACCCATTTAGGAGCGATTTTCTATTCTTAAACTTAGGTAGTTTGCTTTGCCTAAGCAATGTGTAACCCGTGTCATGGGTTAAAGCGTGACCTCATAAAACTCTCTCTCTAGTGGGGACAACATTGTGTTAGTTTGCTCTCGTCGTCTAAGAGATGTTAGTTGGCAAACCATACCCACAGGACTATTTAGTCACCCAAAGTTAGGGGAGCGACCCCCTGTGTTTGTCAACTACTAAGATTACCCGTGTAATCCTACATCCCCTCTCAGGATATATTTGTTGTGCAAGATAATCCAACTAAACTATTAGACATACAATTCTAACCGACCTAGGCCTGACTCGATGATAATGGTATTAAAGTGGAAAGGGAAGTGGAAACTTTGTTGACACCATACCAATTGCTAACGATATGGAGGCTACATTTAACTTGCTGAATTGCTACAATCTTTATGCTCTTTCACCTTGGCAGCCTACTTTGATTACATAGTGAATGATTGGTAACCTGGGTTGAGGTGTGACCTCGTACATTCTGTAGGGACATTATGGTGTATGCTAGTCTGAACATCATTCATGGAAGGTTAGCTAGTGGACCCTCCCATGGGATCATAAAGTCACCTAAGTTTATTGGGAGCGACCTCCCATGTGCCGATAAGCTACTAAATTAATGTATGTAGTCTCATGCCCTCTCCTCTCAGGAACGATTTACAACACATATGCTATGTCAAGAGACTACTGGCCATCTCCACATGGTTGAGGCACCTGATCTTCTTGACTCACCTTTCTTATCCAACCTTTGCCTACCTCGACAATATGGGTACTACAGTGGAATTTTGACGGAATGTGTACCGAAGTAGATAGGTAGCAAAGATTCTAATGATGCTATCATATTGATATCAGCCTGAAGATCAACCTTAGTCATCCTTGGATGTCATGGAGGTCTACTACGTTCTTAGGGGCTTATAAGTGGTTTCAATCTCATCTCTCGTTTCCAAGATATTCAAAGTTAGCTCATCGGGGCTAATCCAAATCTCTGGGTGCATTTAAGTCTAGACCTTTGATTGCCACTCACATCTTGTGGTGTAGGGTCTACCGGGAACGCTTTTGACCTAGGTCAATGTGTACATCGCACTAGTTGTAGCACCCTAATCTTAACTCAGTTCCCTCATGCATGTTTTGCTAGGGAGATATACCTATCGATTACCTAAGCACTTAATCCATAATTTAAACTTCACCTTAGACCCTGCACCAACAGACCTCTGGGAGTTGAGGAGGTCTGTTGGATGCCTAGGGCAGCTAGGTGGCTTAACACAGACTTTTAGCTCCATACTACTCTGTGTTGACTCATTGAGTCTTTCTTAGTCTAGGTGCACTAGGGTCTAGACTCATTGACTTTTGCTCACGATCTTAAGGTGCTCAGTCTACTGAAGGTGTCCTGACCTTGGTCATAGTCTAGTCAATCTAACTCTAATGCTCTAGCTCTGTGTATATAAGCAAGATCTATAGGGAGACTACATAGTCAAACACTGAAGTTAAAACATACTATATCATGCAAACATACAAGAGAACTAGATCAACAGGGAGGTAATATTCATAAATCATTCGGAGCATAGATCACAATAACCATCCTCTTTTCTAACACAACAAAAAGCATATAAAACAACATTTATCACAAATCTCATTACTGGGGTATTTTGATAATTTTTTTATATAATGAGCATACTCATCCATACGGCTAAACTCATACTCTAGTCATGTCTCAGAAATCTCAATCTAGGGGCATAATGGTAATTTTATCATAACACACATGCAATGCATATTCATTCAAAAACGCTATGCCAAAGTCCTTAACATGCATTTTCTAACCATCTAAAGAAAGGAATGCTCATACTATTACGTCCTAGTGATCCCTAAAATCTTAGTCGTTACTTGGATGATGGGTATCTTCTCGAGCTAGTTTTTTCACGTTTTAAGAGCTCCAAAATTTCTAAAATTTAATAGAAAGTTTCTAATTCATGTCAAAATAGTGTTAGTATGAAACGAGAAACAGTTGGAGGTGTGGGATAGAGAAAAAAGAAGCACCACGCATGCTAACATGCGCCGTCACACGCGAATGTCTTGGTTCCAGGCACGTAGCCCACGTGTGGATACAGCACGAGCTCCGAAGGAATAGGCACGCTCGTTGCATGACATGTGGCACCTCCTAATTGGCACTTCTGTGCTTCCGATCCCAGGTTCGATTCTTAAAAGTGTTTCTTCTATGCTTCATTTTTCTCCGTACACCGTGTCTCCACCGTTTCTACCTGAAGCGCGTCCGGGCTTATGTTTGACACGTGTTACATCTCATTGCCAGACACGTTCATCACTTTTGCCACCGACGCGTGTCAATTTCTTCATCTTTCCACCCAATTTTGTGTTGATTTTTTTATACATTTTTTTTGGTAATTGTTAAGGATATTTAGTAATAAATTATAGTTTACCATATATATTATATTTGATATTTTATTATAAGACAAATATCTAATATTTGCCTTATTATCATAGGTATCTTTCCATTTATTGTTATTTCCATTTATTACTATTTCCATATCCTTGTAGTTTATTTGATTATAAATAAGATAACTTTCACACCATTTATGTGTGGTGGATTAATCAAACATTCACATGGTATCAGAGCCCTCTCGATTTAACAACCCCGATCATTTCTTTTCAATGGCTTTTGAATCCTCTAATCTTCTTCTCCACCACCCTTGCTGGTTTTGACGCCGCAGGGGCAGTCTTCATGGCTGCCGTAGTCGGAGCCGATTGATTACTCTTCGGCTCCACCCTATTGACCTCCAAATCACCTTTCGTCATACTCTGTACATACAACCTCACCTTTTCCAACCCAATTGGTTTCCCCCTTGGCCAATATAGTCTCTCTCATTTTCTTCCCCATCAACCTTCATCCTTCACATAAACCCTAACCTAAACCTATCAACCTTTTGCAGAGATTTACCTTCGGAATCTGGGTGCCGCACTGGCCTATTCGCCAACCAAGTTGCCGCCGCCCTTCCTGCCAAAATTGGCTTCTTCGCCCGATGAGGCGACTCTTCCGACTGCCCTTCTCGCCAAAATTGGCTCTTTCGCCCAATGTGGCGACTCTTCCGGCTTCAACATTGTCTTTGTCCCTTGCTCTAGGTTTCCCCTTCTACTTCTTGGGGTTAGAAATATTCTCACCAGAGCCAAGGCAGCATCGTCGCTAAGCGACAATCCCTCTTCATGGGTTAGACATATTCTCGCCGAAGCCAAGGCAGCATCGCCGCTGAGCGGCGATCCCTCTGCAATTTTTGATGGCCAAGAACCGGGTTGTTAGCATCTTCATGAAAAGTGTTTCTCAACCTCTTTGAATTTTTCAGATTCAAGCTTCACGTTCGTTTAAATCCGACGCTTAGCTTGCGGTGGGGTGTTAAGGATATTTAGTAATAAATTATAGTTTACCATATATATTATATTTGATATTTTATTATAAGACAAATATCTAATATTTGCCTTATTATCATAGGTATCTTTCCATTTATTGTTATTTCCATTTATTACTATTTCCATATCCTTGTAGTTTATTTGATTATAAATAAGATAACTTTCACACCATTTATGTGTGGTGGATTAATCAAACATTCACATGGTATCAGAGCCCTCTCGATTTAACAACCCCGATCATTTCTTTTCAATGGCTTTTGAATCCTCTAATCTTCTTCTCCACCACCCTTGCTGGTTTTGACGCCGCAGGGGCAGTCTTCATGGCTGCCGTAGTCGGAGCCGATTGATTACTCTTCGGCTCCACCCTATTGACCTCCAAATCACCTTTCGTCATACTCTGTACATACAACCTCACCTTTTCCAACCCAATTGGTTTCCCCCTTGGCCAATATAGTCTCTCTCATTTTCTTCCCCATCAACCTTCATCCTTCACATAAACCCTAACCTAAACCTATCAACCTTTTGCAGAGATTTACCTTCGGAATCTGGGTGCCGCACTGACCTATTCGCCAACCAAGTTGCCGCCGCCCTTCCTGCCAAAATTGGCTTCTTCGCCCGATGAGGCGACTCTTCCGACTGCCCTTCTCGCCAAAATTGGCTCTTTCGCCCAATGTGGCGACTCTTCCGGCTTCAACATTGTCTTTGTCCCTTGCTCTAGGTTTCCCCTTCTACTTCTTGGGGTTAGAAATATTCTCACCAGAGTCAAGGCAGCATTGTCGCTAAGCGACAATCCCTCTTCATGGGTTAGACATATTCTTGCCGAAGCCAAGGCAACATCGTCGCTGAGCTGCGATCCCTCTGCAATTTTTGATGGCCAAGAACCGGGTTGTTAGCATTTTCATGAAAAGTGTTTCTCAACCTCTTTGAATTTTTCAGATTCAAGCTTCACATTCGTTTAAATCCGACGCTTAGCTTGCGGTGAGGTGTTAAGGATATTTAGTAATAAATTATAGTTTACCATATATAATTATATTTGATATTTTATTATAAGGCAAATATCTAATATTTGTTTTATGATCATAGGTATCTTTCCATTTATTGTTATTTTCATTTATTACTATTTCCATATCCTTGTAATTTATTTGATTATAAATAAGATAACTTT